CGTAACTGGGGGTACGCACGACGTACGTCCCAGACTTCCTCTTTTCGCTCATTTGGTCTTAATCCGTTAAGACAATTGCTACCACTACAGATCTGGGCTGATTAAGGTCCGTTACTCCATAAAGTTGGTGTCTTTAAGCCTTAGCATGGCTGGACAAGTCTAAAACTCATAAAATCTAATCCTTTACTCACAAAGGTCCACATATCTCATGCATGGAGAGATCTTGACGACCAATATCTCATTTTTATGAATCCAAACGTCTAAAAACACCTAAAAGGACAGGTATTATGCTTTGGAGTTCACCAAACTCATAAAGCTTCAAGCTTGGGACACAAAACCCTAAAAATGGACCAAAACATGAACTAATCAAAACAATGAGAAAGCTTTGAGCTTGATACCTCTGGATGATGCACCAACCATAGAAAAACTCAGATCCAAAAGCTTGGACACCAACTCTTCTTCCTTCAAGGCTCCTTCTTCACAAAAGAACTCCACAAGAACACTCAATAAGCCACAAATGCTCACACAAGCTTTGGAAACGAGATTTAGGGTTTGAGGGGAGATAGAGGCAGGAAATGGTGGCTGGACATGAGGCCATCATGTTCCTTAAATAGGGGCACACAAGACATTAGGGTTTTCACTATGAGCCTAGTACGCCCAACGTACCCTCTGGTACGCCCTGCTTACTAGGTGGCCTCCACGTTCCTTTAAAGCACATGAGTACGCTGAGCGTACACATGCGTACGCCCTGCATACTCAATTGCCACCTTTTCTCAAATAAGGACTAGTCTTGGCAAATGCAATAAAACTTATGGTCATCGATGCATACCTTATTTCAGTATGTTACAATTCTCCCCCACTAGGATCAGACTTCACCCTCGAGTCATCCTCTGGAAACATCTCTGGGTACTGCTCGCGCATCTCGGTCTCCGGCTCCCAAGTCCACTCCAAACCTCTACGATTCTGCCACTAAACTTTAACCAGGTGCACCTCCTTGTTCCTCAAAGTCTTTACTTTGCTATCCAATATCGCTACCAGCCTCTCAATATAGTTCATGCGATCATCAACCTGAATTTCCTCTAAAGGAACCACTGCCGTCTCGTCGGCTACACACTTTCTCAGCTGGGATACATGGGAAGTGTTATGAATCTGGCTCAACTCCTCTAACAGCTCTAACTAATAAGCTACCTTACCCACCCAAGCAATCACCCTGAAAGGACCAATGAATCTAGGGCCCAACTTTTATATATATATATATATATATATATATATATAATATATATATATATATATATATATATATATAGACCCTTTTATATTAATAATTATATTTCCTTTTTTTTAAATAAGGCAAAACTTCATAAATAGTCCCTGTAGTAGTGAAATGACTTAAATACCCTTCAGTTAACGGACAAAAGATGAAAGAGTGAGCAATAAGGACCATAAATGAAAAGTTTTACAGGGACCATCTATGATGTTTTTTAAACTTAGGGACTAAACTTCAAATTCCGAAATACCACAGAGACCATTATGAACTTTTGTCATATATATATATATATATATATATCTATATTATATATATATATATATATATATATATATATATATATATATAAACATAGTTTTATTTTTCGTTTTTTTTTAATTTTTAATAAGCTATTTTTATCGAAAAATGATTTTAAATATATACCAAAATTCATGATTTTTTATTCTCTACAAATAAACATCTATATTGATATACTTTTAAGATAAATAATTTTTTTTTATATGTTTAATTATCGTTATTCATAAGTGAATAAAAATGTATCAGATTTTTTGTACAACACATTCATTATTCACTTATGAATAAAAAATATGATTAATTTTTTTTACAAATTAAGTATCATTCATATATAAATATAACATATAATAAACTCTTCACAGCTTACATCAACTCTCATCACATGTTATATTCACATATGAATAAAACCTGTATTGACTTTCTTCACAAATTATATTTATATACGAAGAACACATTTATCATAATTTTGTTACAGTTCATTTGTTATTCCTATATGAATAAGTAGTTCTAGTTTTCAACACACTTCATCTTTTTTTAACATACTACTTATTTATATATGAATAACAAATGAACTGTTACAAAAATCTTAAAAACGTTTTTATTAATATATGAATATAACATATGACGACAATTAATACACGTTTTATTCATATATAAATATAAAATGTGACGAAAGATGATGTAAAAAAATATATTTTATGTAAGAAAACTTTATAACGTGTTATATTCATATATAAACGATACTTAAATTGTAAAAAAGTTAAACATGCGTTTTATTGAAAAGTGAATAACGAATGTACTTTAATAAAAATGTGATGCGTTTTTATTTACTTATGAATAGCGATAGCTAAAACTCTAAAAAAATAATTTTTTTATTTTATCTTAAAACTATATCAATATGAGTGTCTATTTATAGAGAATAAAAAATTATGAATTTTGATATACTTAAAATAAATTTTCGATGAAAATAACATTATAAAAATAAAAAAAAACAAAAAAAAGTTAATGTTTTTGTGTATATTAAGGTAATGATTAGCATACTTTAAGAAAACATGTTTGGTTGGAAAAACACATGTGTATCCGTTACCCATTCCGCCGGTACGCCTAAGTGTTTTGCGGCAAAATAAATGTGTGGTTGAGAATGATTCTCTCATTCTCAACGTTTTTTTTTCTCAATTGAATCCTCCTATATATATATATATATATATATATATATATAGATATATAGATATATATATATATATATATATATATATAGATATATATGATATAGAGAGAGAGAGAGAGAGAGAGAGAGAGAGGGGAGGGGGAGAGCTAGGTTCAAATGTGTATCGACATCTATTGTGCGGACGTGTGGACAATGCTATTTTGTGAGAATGACAAAGAAAATATGTTGTTTGGTAATTTGAATACGTTCAATCTTACATAACTATTGTCATTATCACACATTCTGACTAATTAAATCGTCTATAAGGTTATTATAGACTTTTTTTTTATTCTCATTCTGTCAGAAAGTTGTCAGAATGTTTATTGAGTCGTATTCTGTAAAACTGAAAATGAGTAAAAAACGATGCGTGAGAACAAAAATGAATATGAGTTAGTGAGAATGCATGAATATACCGATAGTTGTGTAAGGTTGAACGTATTCACATTAGCAAACAACTTATTCTCTTAGTAATTCTCATAAAATAGCATTGTCCACACGTCCGTACAATAGTTGTCCATCCATATTATACCTAACCCTATATATATATATATATATATATATATATATATATATATATATATATATATATATATATAGGGAAAAGTTCAATAGAGAACCATAATTATTGGTTCTTCAAGGAACCAAATCTTTTTTTCAATTTCTAGAGCTTATTCTTTATCGAAATTTTTTTTTTAAAAATATCTAAATTCATATATTAACATTGTGAATGTGAAAAATATTTTTCGGATTCACCGTGTGAATCCGGATTCACATTGTAATTTTTCAAAGATTCACATTTTGAATTTGACGTAAAAAAAATCGAATTTGATATCATTGGACAAAGGATAAAAAGTTATGAATTTCTGTATTTTTAGTTTTTTTTTGATAAAAAATAAGTTCTAAAAGTTGAAAAAAAGATTGGTTCTTTGGTTTCTTGGTTAATTATGGTTCTCTATTGAACCTCACCCTATATATATATATATATATATATATATATAATATATATATTATATATATTATATATATATATATATATATATATATATATATATAGGGTGAGGTTCAATAGAGAACCATAATTAACCAATGAACTAATCTTTTTTTCAACTTTTAGAACTTATTTTTTATCAAAAAAAAAAAAACTAAAAATACAGAAATTTATAATTTTTTATCTTTTTTCCAATGATATCAAATTCGATAAAAAAAATTTTTCGTCAAATTCACAATGTGAATATTTGAATATTCACAACGTGAATTTAAATTCACACGGTAAATCCGAAAAATATTATAATATTCACAATGTTAAGTTATGAATTTAAAAATTTTTAGTTTTTTTTTTTCGATAAAGAATAAGCTCTAGAACTTGAAAAAAAATTTGGTTCCTTAGAAAACCAATAATTATGGTTTTCTATTGAACTTTTTCATATATATATATATAATATATAATATATATATATATATATATATATATATATAAGATATATATATAATTAGCAGTTATAAATAAAATATATTTAAATATGATTGGCAACCTAAATTGATTTGCCTAATTACTAGTTAAACTTTTTCATGGAAAACAAAATAATTAAAAGTTTAAAACCCCAAAAGGATTTTTTTGCACCATCTTAAAATTACTTTAATTCAAAAACCTCCAACGCCACTTACGTACTAACCCTCAATTTAAACCATAGACAATTTCAATTCCCAGCAAGATCTTTGGCATTTGAATATGGGAGGTTTCAATGTTCAAAGTTTTTGGGGTTTCAAGTAAGAATTCATTAAAGGGAACACGACGTATTTCACAGTGTGAACATATTGTAAAAAAAACAAGCCTTATCCCTTACAAAAACAGGGAGTTGCAGTGGCCGTTTGGAAACCTATTTTATTTTATAAAATGAGATTGGCAATACCACAGGCACAGTGTCACTACCAAACCTAATGACACACTCTTTAACTATTATATTTTTGTATCGAGATCCATAATTTTGCAGACCACGCTATAAAATTTAGTGGCCCAGATATTAAACCACTTTTAAGAAAACAATTTCAGAGTACAGTATCCTACCTGCAAAAATATGATTTTGTTTAAAGATTATATGAATTTTAAATCTATCTTGGTAAAATTTATATATAGATATGACTATTGTTATTATTATTATTTTTATATAATTATAAATGACCCTTATATCTAACTCATAATTTTTTATATTTAGAAAAACTAATAGTATTTGATGACTTTCCAATCTTATCTTTCTGAAAATTCTGCATAGCCGTCTTGACTAACCAGGTCCTACCGATTCAATACAGTGACGCACATGGATCCACCAATTTCTATATAATTGTATTATATATTTTAGTGACAGTCACATCTAACAAAAGAGCTAAAGAGATGGGGGAAGGGGCGATGGACGATTATGAAGTAGTGATAATTGGAGCGGGGATCTGTGGATTAGCGACTGCCGTCGCTCTTCAGAAGAAAGGAATTAAAAGCGTAGTGATGGAGAGATCGGAAGCTCTGAGGAATTTCACCGGTGCAGCTATCGGAATCCGCCAAAATGGTTGGCGAGCTTTGGATCAGCTTGGCGTCGCCGACGTCCTCCGTCGCACTGCTATCAATATTAAAAGGTATGTCATACTTTTTTTTTTAGATATTTAATTGATAAATACATAGTTTTATGTAGATTTTGTTTCCAAACTTTAACGAATTTTATTTTATACATTTCATAAACTAAAAATATTTATTACCTGGTAAATTTTGTCTTTCACTTTTTCTAGGACATTACAGAATAGGCCTCTAATATATTAATGTAAAAATTAAAATTTATAAATAAAATAATTTTAAATTTTAGGAAAAAACAACAAAAGTGAGTTACTTTTTCTTTAGTAAATCATAAATTTTACATTGAAAACAATTATATAATTGCTATTTTATATAGAATATGGTATTAATGAAACCAAATTAACATTTGAGTAGCTTAATTTGATTTATCAACTATAGTTTGTTGCTACCATATTACCATATTAGTTAATCCAAATTAAAAAAAAATCATTTTATCACCACATAAAGTAATAAATACTTTAATCAAAAAGTTTTTGTGGAGTTAAATAAGCAATAAACCTTGATTCTATAAAAAGAGTATTGTTTGGATTTTCTCCATTCTAACCATCCGAATATTTTTTACGATTTAACCACACTTAGAAATTAAAAAAAAAAAAAGCTTTAATCTAGTTCTGGTATGATCACCCATTTTCTAACCCGTATAATCTTTTTAAATTTGTTATTGGTCTTATGATGCAAGTTTTTTTAATCAAAAATTTATTTTGTAGGTAACTGAAAATTGAAATTATCTACTCTAATAAATGAAAGTTTTTTTGTCACATGTCACACTCTCATTCAATTTGTCAAATGTCATTGTGGTTATTCTGAATTAATTTCTTTTTACATATCATTTTCTTATTTCAAAATTTCTAAATTAAAGCTCATTAGTTTATTTTGTTTATTTATTTAAATTTAAAAGATAAAAAATATCAATTTTATGACAATCATTTTATTTTTGTGACAGTTGATAAAACATATATATAGCATTTATGTAATTTTGTCATATATTAATATTTCTATTATATATATCATCAATATTTCTATTATATATACTTCATCTATATATTCAACTTTTATCAAGCAAATTCTATTAAGACAAAATTACATAAATAATCCTTATAGTTTATCAGAAATCACAAACTCTTGTTAATTTTTTTTTAAGAACATGGTCTGTGTGGTCTCCAAAACTAACATAAATCGTCACACAAATTAGCAAGGACTGAATTTGTGACATTTGATAAACCATATAAGACCATTCATACAAGTTTTGGAAACCATGGAACCATGTTCGCCAAAAAACATTAGTAAAGACAGAGTTTGAGACATTTGATATATATATATATATATATATATATATATATATATATATATATATATAATTTTGTCATATATTAATATTTCTACTATATATATCATCAATATATAATAAATATTTCTATTTCTATTAAATATATCATGCAAATTCCATAAAGGTGTTTTAAACATTTTGTTTTATTGTTTTCATATAAACTTATTCGTGAAAAATATTACAATATTTTTCTATATGATTATAATTAAGTTTCGTTGATAATAAGATACTATTTTGAAAATACATTAAAAGGTTCACCGATAAAATAGGAAAAACCTTTTATTCTCGTTAAAGATGTTTGTTTTTTCATAGTTAAAGTTTTCATGGTTAAATGGTAAAAAAAGGGTAAATTACACGGATGGTTCCTATGGTTTAGGGTAATTTGCGTGCTTAGTCGCTAAGAACTTTTTTTTAACTCGGACGGTCACTATTTTATATTTTTGTTACACGCTTGGTCCCTTGTTGACTTGAAATGACGATATTACCCTTTTTGATATCTTTAATAAGTTTTTATTATTATATTAAATTAAAAAACATTAATAAAAAAATGTGGTCCCACCATCCCAATACAAATTATCCCTATACATTATCACCAACCTCTTAATCACCTGCAACACCACCACCACCACCGTCGGTTTCCTCAACCACCACCACTGGCAACTTTCACTAGAAAATTTGAAACCATAAATTCACTCACCGAAAAACCTACTTGCGGGAAAACCAATCCCCTTCCTCTTTATTTGGAAAGAACGCCTCCCTGCCCCACTTTCTTCATCTCACTTGGAACACATCGATCTTCATATTACCGGGCATTCATGAACAAGGAAACCAAAAAAAGAAGGAAATCAAAAATCAATGAACAATTTGAGACAGTTATGATAATCACGACTTCATCGTTGCTCAAACCCAGAAAAAACACAAATTGAAAATCTAATGAAAATGAATTCGATTACACAATCTAAGATAGTTCAAATAGATTATAACCCTACGGATGATTTAAACCATAAAAATCCTAACCTGCTTGGTTATTTCTTAATTTTGTGCACAATCTAATGAAACATAAATGGATTTCGAATTGCACAAAAATCAGAAAAACACCAGATTCATAACAAACCACATATATAAACTTGATTTCAAACATTTGACCTAAAGTAAACCCATCCACCTGATTCGTAACAAACATGCATCAAATCTTGCTTCACCATACTCGAATCTACTCGATACAACTTTCCATGATTGTGAATCAGTGATCGGAGATGATGAATTGACGAAGACGATGATGAATTGTTGATAGCAGATTTACACAAAGGGATTGGTGAGAGCGGTAGAAGCTAGTGGCTGGAGCAATAGATGTTGGGGACGACGACTCTACACTTGTCGGGAACATTGGAGAGAGAAGACGTTGATGTGTTGAAATTGGAGGGAGAGACGGTGGGGGAGTTAGCTGGAGGTGGAAGCGTGGTGTAGGAGAAACGTCGGTGAAGAAAATGGGAATGAGAAGTATTAGGTTTAGATTTCTTTTTATTTTATTTTTGATATAAATAATAAATAAATAAAAACTTAATTAAAAAAGGAATGGATGAGGGTAAATTAGTCATTTTAGAACGGATAGGGACCAAACGTGCAACAAAAATATAAAATAGGGACCGACCGAGTTAAAAAAAGTTCTTAGGGACTAAGCACGCATATTACCCTAAACCACAGGGACCATCCGTGTAATTTACCCTAAAAAAATACTAGAAGGTTAAACCGAAAAATCCAAAATTATAGCGTTTTTATAAAATTCAAAATGTTATGGTTTCCTCTAAATCCCTTCTACCAGGATATGATGTTTTTTTGAAAAAAATAAAAAATTAAAATCTAGGTCGTTAAACGAAAAATAAATAAATGGTTAAATCAGAAAAGTCTAAAATAAAGAGTTTTATCATTGAAATTTGAAAGTTAGAAACTAACTAATGTTTACGGATTAAATATATACCCCGGCCATTTGTAGAGAACGGATTGTAGGGCTCGATGGGGGAAAGCAACAAGAAATGCCGATGTAAGTTACTGTAGATTAAAACATTTTATTCAGTTTTCATGACTGGAAAATCATTATTAATTGAAAGTCATTTGTTTATCAATGAACGACAGGAAAGGCGAAACTCGTTGCTTGAGAAGGAAAGATCTTATAGACACTCTCTATGCTGCACTTCCTCCGACCTCTGTCAAGTTTGGATGCGAACTTGAATCTATAAAATTGGACCCGAATACTACAAAACCAGTTCTTCGATTCATCGATGGGAGCTCCATTACCCCCAAGGTCTTAACTTGATTGAGTAAAAGAACTACCATTGATCGGTGTTAATGGCAATTCTGAAATGATTATCTGGTTCTTCATATGTTCAATAAGAACAACGATACATGTTGGTTCTTGCAGGTTGTAATTGGTTGTGAAGGAGGCAAGTCAATCGTTGCCAATTTCCTTAACATCAAGCCTACGAAGATGTTTCCCTTATGTGGAGTTAGAGGTTTATCAAACTATCCCAATGGTCATCTATTCGACCAAGAGTTTGCTCGTTTCAGGAAAGATAAGAATCTTGTGGGAAGAATTCCAATGGACAATAACTTAGTCTACTGGTTTTGTGCGCACCCTTACTTTCCTAAAGGTCATTCATCATCACGTTTACGTACATTTCACTTCATTTGTTCTTCGTTTGCTTAGATTTTTCCGTTTTCGTTTTTCCAATTATGATAACAGATGACAGAATTTGGGAAGATCCAGAGGCAATACAGCAATCAACCCTAGCATTGCTAAGTGATTATCCCCAAGAAGTTAAAGAAATGATAGAAATTGCGGATGCAAATTCGTTGTCTTTTACACATTTAAGATATCGTGCACCATGGGACTTGCTAAGGGGGACGTTTTGTAAAGGAAGAGTGACAGTTGCTGGGGACGCTATGCATGTGATGGGTCCGTTTCTAGGGCAAGGTGGTTCAGCAGGTTTAGAAGATGCGGTGGTGTTGGCTAGGAACTTGGCTGAAAAGGGTTTGGACAATGTGGAAGAAGCGTTTAATCTGTATGTAAAAGAACGAAAAATGAGGGTGGTTCGATTATCGTTGCAGACTTATTTCACGGGTATGCTATTGGGAGCTTCTTCGCGTCTAAAGCAGTTTATGTATGTTGTGTTATTGTCTCTTCTCTTTCGCAACTCGAGTGGCCATGTTGATTATGATTGTGGTAGTCTTTGATGCGTTTAGAGATCTTTAGACTCGGATGTTACTAGTGATTTTGTATAATCAAATAAAGAATCAATCATAATGATCAAAGTATTGGTAATTCAATATGGTTAGTGAAATCTTCAATTGAAGCTGAAAACCATGGTTTCGAAGAAAATTAATGATCCAACATCCAACTATGTATATTCGAGTATGTAACTTGTTTTTTTTTTTTTTTTTTTTTTTTTTTTTTTTTTTTTTTTTTTTTTCCTGTTGTTGTTTGTTTTAGTGTTGGACCTCTACATGTGAACTCCATGGTGGCCAAAGGTGCTTGTGCCTCCATTTATCTCACTGATCAAGCAACCAAAAGGGTGGCATTATAGCCATGCCCAAGGATAATTTTTCCCGAAATTGCTGCATGTGTGCCCTTGATGGTTCTTCACAATGAAGCACTCGCTATGATATTAGGAGTTCTTCACGACGACTTACTTACTGTGATAGAGGAGTTTCAATGTGATCTTGAGAGATTTAGGTGGTGAGTTGTTTGTGTGACATAGTGAAACCGAAGGTCAACATAGTCTGATGCTGCTGGTAGCTCCCATTGGGACGATTTTCCCCTTAAGCAAATTATGGACGATTTTACCCCTGTTTTAAAAATGGTTGATCTTGAAAGATTTTCACTATCATTGATTGGTACCTTGTTGAAGTTCAATCTGAAGTCGTTGGAAGTTTCATTCTAGCTGACAATTCGTCGGTGCAATTTTTGGACGATTTTACCCCTTGGGTACTATGGAAGTTTAATGATGGCAGGTCGTCTAATTGGTGGGATCTATTACCATCAATACATCGTTTCTGGTGGACATCGATGTAGAATGAAGTTGAGATTGATCATAGTCATGGAAGTTCATTGTTATTCTTGGGACTTTGAGCTCAAAATGAAAATAAAGATGTAGCAAGTTTTAATGTGGTGTGCCCTCACTGCTATGGTGCCATGTGCTTTTGGTGTGCCCTCATTACTCTGGTGCTTTTTCCGATTTCATGTTGTAAGTTGCTATTGTTGGCGATATTTTCTCCTTAGTTGTCTAAATATTGCTCATAGTTTAGGTTCTATTATTACCACTAGCCTGTTTCTTGTTTATGTTCCATTTGTACCATTTTCCAATTTTGTGCTGGTTTATATACATATTGCCATTTCAAAAAAAAAAAATGTATTTGACTTCATACCCACACGACTTCAATGCTTTCATCTAGCTCTGGTGAACTCTATAGATGGGTTTTACAAACTCATCATGACTTCTTGTTTATCAGTCCAAGGTGCGTCCTAAGACCATCTCCAGTCCCGTAGCTCGTTGGACCCTCTGGCCCGGTCATAGCTCGTCGGACCCTTCGGTCCGGTCTGTGTCGTTGGACCCTTCGGTCCGGTCTATATCGTTGGGCCTTCCGGCCCGTCTATATCGTTGGGCCCTCCGGCCCGGTCTGTTCAACACATAGCATACATATAACACAATGCACATAATCTCATATATACACATAGCATACAAGACCCTCCGGTCTACACATAAATACCACTCTAGCTAATGTATAGTGAGAAGACTCACCTCGGGTATCTCGGATGATCTCGCACACGAATACACTGATCTAGCCCCCGCCTAATCACATACACAATATCCTCAAATAAATAATGGCTCTCAAATGCTAGATTAAATCCCCTTCTACAATCCCTCAGAAGGGTGAAAGACCATTTTACCCCTCCTTGACCCAAAAGTCCAAATGTTGACCAAAACCCTAAAAGTCAACGAAAGTCAACGGTTAAACTTTGACCCGACTCGTCGAGTGCACATGGGCGACTCGGCGAGTCCATGCGGGTCCTCTGAATCCTTCTAGCCTCTCTTGGCTCGTCGAGTCATCCTTCCACTCGACGGGTTCCTCCTGTCACGAATCGCGGGGCAACCCCGACTCGACTCGTCGAGTCCCTTATGGACTCGGCGAGTTCCTCCCATGAAAACACTCAAACGATCTTTTGAGGTCAGATCTGCTTCACCAACCAGTAGATCTAACCTTCTAACACTCGAAAGTCACGTAAAGGTTCAAACTTTACGTTCATGCAATGCTTATAAGACCAAAAATGGAGAAATAACCTTTTTAAAATGGGGTTCTACTCTCAAGGCTCACATGAAACCTCATAAAGCTGGAAGCTTGGGACCTTTTGGACCTCTCAAGGTCCAGATCTATCATCTATACCCAAAGGGACCTCATATGCTTCACAATCTAACTCAAAATTGTGCAAAGGAAACCCTAGATTCAAGGAATCTATCAAATACACGAAATGGGAAGGAACTTGTACCTCAAAACGTGAATCTCAGTATGAACAACACAGATCCAAGCTCCACAATCGATCTAGCTTGGATTTTCCCACTCCTTCTTGCAAGATCACACCAAAGGATGAAGAATTAGCCTCCAAATTGCTCTCTAAGCTCTCTTTGCTCTCTAGGGTTTTCACAGGGGAGTAGTGGCCGCAAATGACGGCCATAAGGGCCTTTAAATAGGGCTCATGCCCTGAGATTTAGGGTTTCACTTTACAGCGCGGACTCGCCGAGTCCACTCATCGACTCGTCGAGTCCGGTCATTAATCCAGACAAGAACTCGCGATCCTACTCGGCGAGTCTGAGCGTCTACTCGCCGAGTCCCTCCATAAAACTCAAGATAAATAATTAAAATAAGATACCTGGGAATCCGGATGTTACAATTCTCCCCCACTAGAATCAGACTTCGCCCACGAAGTCTCATTCTACAAACAGCTCTGGGTGTAGCTTCTGCATCTCCGCCTCCGGCTCCCAAGTCAGCTCGGACCCTCTCCGATGTTGCCACTGGACCTGAACCAGGGACACCTCCTTGTTCCTCAGAACCTTGATCTTCCGACCCCGGATCGCGATTGGCCTCTCAGCATAATTCAGGCTCGCATCCACCTGAACATCCTCCAGCGGCACCACCGCCGACTCGTCGGCTATACACTTCCTCAACTGAGACACATGGAAGGTATCATGAATCTAGCTCAACTCCGCAGGTAGCTCCAACCGATACGCTACCCTGCCCACCCTCGTGGTCACCCTGAACGGCCCAATGTACCGGGGGCCCCAGCTTGCCCCTCTTCCTGAATCGAATCACTCTTTTCCAAGGAGACACCTTCAGGAGTACGAAGTCTCCCACCTGGAACTCCAGCTCGGATCGTCGCTTATCCGCATAACTCTTCTGGCGGCTCTGAGCTGTCAACAACCTCTGTCTAACCTGCTGTATCTGCTCGGTCATCTGAAGCACTATCTCAGTGCTGCCCATCACGCGCTGTCCTACCTCTCCCCAGCAAATGGGAGTCCGACACCTCCTCCCATACAACAACTCGAAGGGAGGCATACCAATACTCGAATGGTGGCTGTTGTTATAGGAAAACTCAGCCAATGGTAGGTATGTGTCCCAGCTTCCTCCGAAGTCCAACACACATGCTCGAAGCATGTCCTCGAGTGTCTGAATCGTCCGCTCACTCTGTCCGTCCGTTTGTGGGTGGTAAGCGGTACTGAAATGCAGCCTCGTGCCCAACTCCTCGTGGAACTTCTTCCAGAACCTGCAAGTGAAACGAACATCCCGATCTGACACAATCGAGATCAGCACTCCATGCCGCGATACCACCTCCCTCACATACAACTGCCAGCCTCTCAGCAGAAGAGCTCTCACTGATAGCAAGAAAATGCGCGCTCTTCGTCAGCCGGTCGACAATCACCCAAATAACATCGACACCTCTTGCGGTCCTTGGCAACTTGGGGATAAAATCCATGGAAATCTGTTCCCACTTCCACTGGGGAACCTCAAGTGGCTGCAACTTGCCGTGTGGACGCTGGTGCTCGGCCTTAACCCTGCGACAGGTCAAGCACCTCTCAACAAACCATGCAACATCCCTCTTCATACAGGGCCACCAATAATCTTTCTTTAGGTCCAAATACATCTTAGTGGCCCCGGGATGAATCGAGAACCTCGATCTGTGCGCCTCCTCCATCAAGGTGGTACGTGTCCCGCCTGCATATGGCACCCAAATCCGACCCTGAAAGGTCATAAGCCCTCGGCTATCGATGACGAACTCAGATACCTGCCCAATCACCCGCTCTCTCTTGCGGTTCTCCGGTCTCACAGCCTCTGCCTGGGGCCTCCCAAATGGTGTCCAACACCAGAGTCATCACCGTCAACCGCATACAAATGTCTCGAATCGGGGCACTCTCCGCCCTACGGCTCAGAGCATCAGCTACAACATTAGCTTTGCCCGGGTGGTACAGGATCTCACAATCGTAATCCTTTACCACATCCAACCATCTCCTCTGGCGCATATTCAGGTTGGGCTGATCCATCAAATACTTCAAGCTCTTGTGGTCCGTGTATATGGTACACCGAACCCCATACAGATAGTGACGCCAGATCTTGAGGGCGAACACTACCACCCCCAACTCTAGATCGTGGGTGGGATACCTCGTCTCATGAGGCTTCAGCTGCCTCGATGCATATGCTATCACATGACCCCTCTGCATAAGTACTGCACCCAACCCCGATATCGATGCGTCACAATACACCACAAAATCCTCCATCCCCTCCGGAAGGGCTAACACTGGGGCTTCGCATAATCTCTGGCGAAGTGTCTCGAATGAGGCCTGCTGCTCCGGGCCCCAACTGAAAGCCACGCCCTTCCGGGTCAACCTGGTGAGAGGAACAACAATCTTGGAGAAATCTTTAATAAATCTCCTATAATAGCCGGCCAACCCCAGAAAACTCCTGATCCGGGTCAACCTGAGCTCATCACTGCCTCAATCTTGGCCGGATCGACCAATATCCCATTCTGGTTAACGAGATGCCCCAGGAACTGGACCTCTCGTAACCAGAAATTACACTTGGAGAATTTGGCATAAAGCCTCTCCGATCTCAGAACTCCGAGGACCTCCCTCAAATGCTCCTCATGCTGCTCTCTGGATCTCGAATACACCAATATATCATCAATGAACACGATCACCGAACGATCCAACATCGGTCTGCACACCCTGTTCATGAGATCCATGAATGCCGCCGGT